CAATTGGCTTTGGCCCAACCGTCACAATTTGCGTTGTTTGTTTTGGCGAAAACTGACGCTTCCCCTTTCTCTTATTGCATGAACAATTTTTAAACAGGGACAGACAAGTCCACTCTCTCTTACTCTAATTCGTTAAGCCGTCAATTGCAAGGGCAGAAGCGGGCACTCCGCACCCGGCTGGTCTTTCGACAAAAAATTTAGAAAACGAAAATTAATTACATTTAAAAACTCTTCACTTGAATTGATTCTTAACCGGCCTCCGTGGACTTCGGAGTAAGTTAGCGTTTTACTTTACGTTCGACCGAAATTATTCGTGTAAGCACACAAATTATTTCGGGTCCTTGGTACCGGGCGGGAGCGCATAGGCTTTTTAATCCGGGCGGTTCCAAACAGAGTTGGAACTTCGATGCTCGCGGAAACCGTACTGAACATGGAGAAATGGGCCAGAGATGCCTCGTAGGTACGCTTAGGGATGTAAAGTGGGAAATTAATGCTGAATCGTAATTTTGGAAAACAGGTGGAAATGGTAACAAGGGTATTGGACTTTGTTACTAAGCCAGTTTTGCTAATTAAGGAAAATTGGTAAAGATAGAGGTGGAACACAGGGGCCTGTTGCCATGCGATTTTTAGCTGACTTCACATTTGACGGAAGTTACTAAATAATTTCAAGAATTGGAATTAAAATTATTTCCAATAAAAATAATTAATAAAATTGATATATTATCCTTAAAGGATTATTAATTGGAAAATAGGAATTTTCCTTATAGGAAAATCCTTGGTACATTCACTGTACATGTATCTTTAAAAATGTTTAATTTTTAAAATACATCTTTTTAATTTGGTTTGAATTCCAGTATTGAGTGAAATGTTTTAATTTCATACCCAATTTTGATCTGTAATTGAGCAGTAGCATAATTCAAAATAAATACACGTGCTTTTAATCTGACATCACTGTATGGCATAGCTTGTGGGCTTGGACAGAAGAAGAGAGGTAAGGAGAAGGAATAGGTGAGAAGAATAAGAGTGGAATGGTACCGTGGAATATAGCGTAGCATGTAAGCGCCTATAGCCCGAGCTCATATGTATAGGTACCTGTAGCGTATAGTCCAAACGAGTATGCGAGAACCAACGACTGCCACGCATTCAACGGCCTGTAGAGTAAGAGAGAAGCGATACAGCTAAAAGGAACGTTAGTCTAAGATAGAAGGTTCGCTTGTACAATGTATCTCTTTTTTCTCTTAGGACGGCTACTAGGTGGAAAGAGACGCACGCTCTATAGTGAATCTCAGCGAGAACATTATGCGGTTGAGAGAGAACGCAACAATAATGTATCTGAGAGAGAAAGATTCCCATGTATAGCATATCTTCTTTCTCTCTCGCGCAATGCCGAGGGATGCGCGGGGAGCTTCCACTGAACGCGTTCAGTGATAACCCCCACTGGACGGCACAGAAATACTATTTTTAATTTTGAATCCTATAATTCTAAATTTAATAATTTAATGAAATAAAGATTTATTTAAAATATATTTAATTTTGAATAGTTCCTGAGTTATTAACGAAAAACATCAGGAGGTTCGCGGTAAGGTTGCGATGGTACTGTAAAGGTACGGTCATACGACTTTTGGAAAAACCATTCTTGTCTTTCTCTCTCCTAAGACAGAGGCATAAGATTGTCTCACTCTGCATTTTCTTACATTTCCCAAAGACGGAAAATGCAGAGTGAGACAAACTTATGCGTCTGTAATAGGAGAGAGAAAGACAAGAATGGTTTTTCCAAAAGTCGTGTGACCGTACCCTAATACGCGGGGCTCTATATCGAGTCTCCTTTTCGATTATGAGGACCATTAATTACACAGCCCCACAAAAAAAAGTGTCGTGTGCGGCAGACCAGACTAGTCACTTCCTATGTATTTTTACGCGCTGAATACGAATCCGAAGTCCGTTTTGCTCCATCACGTCAGGATTTTTTCTAACCTCCAAAAACCTGTCGGATTTTGAGAAGTTGGCTATTTTTTTTTAAATTGATGGATTTACTTCAAACTTGGTATATAGGGGTTTTTTGGGTCGCAGATGACGAATTTGCAGTTAGATTTTCAAAATTCAAAATGGCGGCTCCAATATGGCGGACGAATTTTGTAAAAATTGATGGATTTACTTCAAACTTGGTATCTAGGGGTTTTTTGGGTCGCTGATTACGAATCTGAAGTTAGATTTTCAAAACTAGAAATGAAAATTCTTATATACATAAGTATGATATTCACGTCTTTTTATGGTAGCGCACTCTTTTGTCCTCAAAGGATCTGTGTAATGGTTTTCTTTTCAAATTGGTGCCTCCAGGTACAATATTCCTTTTCAGCATCCAACAGTTGTCGGACATCATATTTACATCCCATCTTCCTTGATAACGACGCTCAAATTCTTTAAGATTTTGATGGAATCGTTCTCCTTGTTCTTTACTGTAATCTCCCAAATTTTCAGGGAATTGATCCCGATGCGAGTCTAAGTAATGCTAAGTTTTTAATCATATCACTAACTATTTGCTCCCAATTTTCACTCTTGTGATTACCCAGAAAATTTCCGACAACTGCTTTGAAACTAAGCCATGCGGCTTTCTCCTTTTTATTCATCCTGGTGATAAATTTCTCATCTTTTAACAATTTGCGAATACGTGGTCCGTCGAAAACCCCTTCTTTTAGTTTCGCATCAGAGATTTCTGGAAACTTTTGTTCCAGGCATTTGAAACAGTTTCCTTTTTTATCTAAGGCTTTGACAAACTGTTTAATTGCTCCTAGTTTCGTGTGTAAGGGCGGAATTATCACCTTTGAAGGGTCGATTAGGGGATTTTTTATTATATTTTTTGAACCTGGTTCGAAAGAATTCCTTTTTGGCCATTGTTTTTTAATGTAGTGATTTGCTCGATCTCTACTGTCCCACAAACACAGGATACATGGTGTTTTTGTAAAACCTGATTGTTGTCCAAGTAGTATGCTTAAAATCTTGAAATCTCCACAAATTTGCCAGTTGTGTTCTCGGCATCTAATTTTATCCAAAACTAGTTTCATATATTCATAGTTTTTTTTCATTTCTGTTGAATGCGCTATTGGAATTGGGGCCATATTGGCCATATTGGAGCCGCCATTTTGAATTTTGACAATCTAACTTCAAATTCGTCATTAGCGACCCAAAAAACCCCTATATACCAAGTTTGAAGTAAATCCATCGATTTTAAAAAAAAATAGCATACCTCTCAAAATCCGACAGGTTTTTGGAGGTTAGAAAATAATCCTATCGTGATGGAGCAAAACGGACTTCGGATTCGTGTTTAGCGCGTCAAAATACATAGGAAATGACTAGTCTGGTCTGCAGCGCAGGACACTTTTTTTGTGGGGCTGTGTTATCCCATATGCATAAATAATTAATTATAATTAAGGAAAAGGTTAATAACCTGTGCCGGCTTCAAGAGCTAAAGATAAGAATTTTGATTTTGAAATATAATTTAGTTTCAAGTATTTAGTAATGTTCTAAAGAAGCACATAGGTGAATATACTGGGGATGCTTACACAGGGAAATTTCAGGCACTTGCGCTACCTTGGACTTGCTTTGGAAAAATAAAGCAATTCCAAGGAAATTCGAAATTAAATTTTGAAAAATTATATTATTATTATTATTTAAATTAATGTAAAAGGTTTGACGTTACAAACCACCAGGGAAATTCCTGTTATAGTCCCCGATAACTTGAAGCTCTTGAACTCGACAAGGGTTGTACATTTTATTTAATTTTATTATTAATTAACAATTATAATATTAAATTTTGCCTTACAAATGATGGAATAAATTAGGCATCCCTGTAAAGAAAATATACATAGCATAAATTTTATTCTTTAAATTGGCATTATGCATACCATGCATGGGTGTCAGGTAACCGTGATAACAGCATTCGTCTTGGAGCCGTGGATCATGTCACCCTTACCGCCGCGGTATAGACACAGGTCCCCGCAGGCCAGTTCGTAGGTGGCCGTCTTCGCGTTAGTTAATCAGTTACGTATCGTGTCATTTAAGAAAAAGTGGGACAATGTCCGATTCAGAGGATGATAGATACAGTAGAATCGATTATTTATCTGGCGTTACTCATGAGGAGTTATTGAAAATTTTGGATTCGGCTGGCCGTGCAAGAGAGATTCGCAGACTTTTGGTGGAGGAGCGATACTATATTAGCCGCAACAGAAGTTAAATGAAAATTTTTGGCATTGATTGTTTTGAAAATGTGCGTGTGGTGGGGGATGTTGAAAGTTCCGCCGGGAACCAGGCTGGAACATCGGAACCTTTGCGAAAATCCGACACCGGTCTGACATCTATGCCCTCGATGAGTAGGCTCCAAATGCTCCGGAAGCTTTTCAACATCAGTCCTGATAAAAATTACTCGGAAGATCAGGGACAACAGCAAATGGCAGAGTTGGAAAGTTCGAGCGCAGTTACACCATTGCCAGTAGTGCCTCAATTTCTTCATTTACATCGGCTCAAGCTCGGGCTCATGAGCCTAAGCTCATTAGCCGAAAGCACCGGTGGTGAAGGGTAATTATTATTTCTTTTATTAAAACTTCATTAAATAAATTTTCAATTGTATTTTTTTTTATTTTATCTAATTAAAGTGGTTTATCATAAATTAATTTTTATATAAAAAAAATTCGAAAATAGGTTTTTGATCAAATTTGGTGAGTGGGAAGATGCCCCCTGGCGTCGAGACATTCAGGACGTCTGGTTTCATAACGAGTCTCTCCGCGCGCGATCGTATTTTGGGCGCCGGTAATATTATTACTTTAATTTCATGAATGGCGAAAATTGTTATTGCCTAGTAGGGGCCGTTTATTTATTAACTTTTAATTCAGTAACGAAACAACAACAATTAAAATATGTTAATTTTACTTCATTGTTTGGATTGCAAAGAAAATATTTCCTTTAGTTAATCAATTTTGATTTTAATTACTTAAATCATTTGACAGCGCGGTTCTCGGACTCCTCTTTTGGTGCCAGTACATTTGCCGTTGTTGCCATTAATTGAAGGAAAACGGCTAGGCGAGGATGATAACATTATACGGTATGAATTTCCATTTAATCGAATATGATCCTTTTTTTTATATTTAATTTTAATAAATTTTTTTTTATATTTGTTTTATTTTATTTATGATTACAATTGTATTCACTTTCAGCCTGTTCAACGCGCTTCCTCGCGTTCCGAGAGGCGGCGGCTATCAGCCTCTAGATCAACAGTATAGCCTGTTTACATACAGGTATTTTATTGGGCTGGGCTCGGAGAGTGTTCCGGACGTGAATATTGGCAATTGGTTAGTATAAAGAAGGGATGTGCAGTTTCAATCTTATATTATAAACTAATAGGCTAGAACAAAAAAAATTATTTTTTTTTCTTCTTTATATTTACAGTCTTGGGACATTAACTTGACCGAGTTTTGGGTGCCAATGCCGAAGACCGCAACCCATTAAAGCAATATAATGATGGCAACACTAGGTGTTTACCCTCATTTAAAACTGCATGACCAGAATATCTAAAACAATTTTCTTAATATTATTCGCATTTATTTCACGACTTATATCATTTTGTATTTCTGATGGTTGCATTAAAATTAATTAATTTTTAGGGTTCCGTACTCGGTTCGGAACCCTATTAATATCGGTTTTTTTGAAATCGTGTACCCCCCCCCTAGCGGCCACATAAATTTATCTGGAGGGCTGAAAATTAGTACACATATGTATTTTCGCGTGTAGATTACAGGAAAATTATAGCGAACTTGATTGGAATTGATTAACATAGCGTTGTCAAGGAAAAACCATGAATTTTTACGAAAAATGCCTAAAAATGACTATGTACCCCCCCCCCTAGCGGCCACATCTTTTGACATAAAGAGCTCAAATTTGACACACTTACGTATTTTTACGTGCAAATTACAGGAAAATTATAGCGAACTTGATTCGGATCAATTTACATAGCGTTGTCAAGGAAAAATCAAAAATTTCGAAAAAAATAATTTATTCTCCCTAGCGCACACAATATTCAACCCAGACAGATCATATTTAGTATACAAATGTATTTTTACGGGAAAAATACAGGGGAAAAAAAGCGGTCACGATTAGAGTTGAAGATTAACTTTTTATCAAGTTTTTCAAGAAAAAATGACAATTTTAGGGAAAAAATGTATTTTTCCACCAAAAACGAACAAAATTTTATTTAAAGGAAATTAAATTTATATATTTTAACGTATTTTTACGTGTAGATTACAAAAAAAATATAGCGAGCATGATTGGAGTTGATTATCATAGCGTTGTCAAGGAAAAACCATGAATTTTTACGAAAAATACCTAAAAATGAGTATGTACCCCCCCCCTAGCGGCCACATCTTTTGACATAAAGAGCTCAAATTTGACACACTTACGTATTTTTACGTGAAAATTACAGGAAAATTGTAGCGAACTTGATTCGGATTAATTTACATAGCGTTGTCAAGGAAAAATCAAAAATTTCGAAAAAAATGATTTATTCTCCCTAGCGCACACAATATTCAATCCAGACTGTTCATACTTGCTGTAAAACTCAATTTTTGCGTGAAAAATACAGGGAAAAAATGTAAGCGCGATTGGAGTTGATGATCAATTTTTATCAAATTTTTGAAGAAAAATGATAAATTTCAGAAAAAAATGTATTTTTCCGCAAAAAACGAAAAAAGTTTTTCTACAGTGATTCAAATTTATATATTTTGACGTATTTTTACGTGTAGATTACAAAAAAAATATAGCGAGGATGATTGGAGTTGATTTTTCTGGAATTAATAAACAAATTTTATTTTTTAGATAACTTTCGATTTTTCCTTGACAAGCAGCTACTAGCCTTATATCAATATCTTAAGTTTTATCTCTTTTTGACTTAGAAAGATAAAATTTAATATTCAATATATTTTTAAAATGTAAATACAATAAAAATATTGCGAGTTGAAATAAAATTATGTTTCTTATATTTTTTTAGTAAAATATTTTTTAAAAAATAAAATCGGACAAGTGCGAGTTACACTCGCACTGAAATCGAGGGTTCCGTACTCGAAGCGAACTTATTTGGTATAAAAACAAATGTTTAAAAAATATGTGTTGTATGACAACTAATATAAGTGATACGAAGAGGAACAATTTTCTTGAATTTTACAAAATTGTTCCTTTTTGTATCACTTATATTAGTTGTCATACAACACATATTTTTTAAACATTTGTTTTTATACCAAATAAGTTCGCTTCGAGTACGGAACCCTCGATTTCAGTGCGAGTGTAACTCGCACTTGTCCGATTTTATTTTTTTCTAATTTTGGTGTTTTACTTTCAATCCTGATTTAAGTCCACGACCACTTTTGGGAGCGTTCTTATTTATAACACAGCGGATAAAAGAGCAAGAAAATTATGAAAATTTTGAATTGAATTTGAATAATTTTACAGATTATTTATAAAAGTAAAATTTTTAATTGATTAAACTAACAACATGATCTTAAAACGTAAAAAAATAATAGTTTTATTTATTTAGCTTTATTGTTTCCAATTTCGACTAGACCATTGGGGACTCAATGTTGAGCAACGGTAAGCGTCTTTTTTTCTTTTATTAATGTCCCCCACAGCACCGAAAATTTCCTGAAAATTTCCTAAAGATTTATTTGCAAACTTCGGAAACTTTAATTGCAAAGTTTAGAGAAAATTGTATAAAGATTTAAATGTCCTAAATGAGTAAATGTTTGGCGTAAAACTTGACGGAAGATTTAAATTAAATTTAAAAAATTTTAAAAATACCGAAAGCCAGATATCTGGCTGAGAAAAAAAAAATCTTCCACACACTCTACAACTTTATATTATCGACTTTTGAGTCGATAAGTAGGATCACTTGTCTATCAGTAAGTTGTAGAGTGTGTGGAACATTTTTTTTTTCAGACAGATATCTGCAGTGTCGTGGTTAGGGTCTTTAGCTAGCGCGCGGCGAATGTAGGTTCAATCCCCAGCACCCTATAATTTGTTTTTAAAAGTTCTTGCTCAACAAGCATGCAGTGCTTGATTCAATGTGAATCAAAGCAGAGCAACAATGTTTGTATAATATTTATTTTATTTTTAATCCCAGATAGTAAATTTTTTTTATTGATAATAATAATAATAATAATAAAGATCTATCTATCTATCTATGTATTATTATTATTAACCCCTTCGCAGTCCAGTTAAAAATCGCTGGTGGGCCTAAAACGGTCCGAAAAAAAAGTTTCCAAAAAAATATGACTTCATCATATTTAAGGTTTTTGTGGTCGCTGAATTCGAATTTGAGGTCAGTTTTTCAAAATTCAAAATGGCGGATCCAATATGGCGGACAAATTTTTAAAAAATCAATCCAATTTGCCTGAAATTTGTTACTCGGGGTTTTTTGGGGTCGCTAAATTCAAATTTGAGGTCAGTTTTTCAAAATTCAAAATGGCGGATCCAATATGGCGGACAAATTTTTTAAAAAATCAAACCGATTTGCCTGAAATTTGTTACTCAGAGGTTTTTGTGGTCGCTGAATTCGAATTTGAGGTCAGTTTTTCAAAATTCAAAATGGCTGATCCAATATGGCGAACAAATTTTTAAAAAATCAGACCGATTTGTCTGAAATTTGTTACTCGGGGGTTTTTGGGGTCGTTGAATTTGAATTTGGGGTCGTTTTTTTAAAATTCAAAATGGCGGATCCAATATGGCGGACAAATTTTAAAAATTTGATCCGTTTTGCCTGAAATTTGTTACTTGGGGGTTTTTGAGGTCGCTGAATTCGAATTTGAGGTCGTTTTTTTAAAATTCAAAATGGCGGATTAAATTTGGTGACCAAATATGTCAAATAATGTAAAAAGTAATGTGTTTCGGCCGAAAAAAAAATCGTGACTCTGGGTTTGGCAGAGAGCGGAATTAATAGAGATTTGCTAGCTTTCATCTCTTCATTGAAACAACTGTTTTGCATTTTTGGAGTCTACCATCAGATTTTTATTTATTTCTAAAATTTTGGTCGCCATTTTGGATTTTCCTTACTGAATTTTGAAAAACTAATATCAAATTCAAATTCAGCGACTCCAAAAATCTCTAAAAAACGATTTTCGTTGGAAACACATCAATTTTCAAATTGTCTGCCATATTTGTCCGCCATATTGGATCCGCCATTTTGAATTTTGAAAAACTGACCTCAAATTCGAATTCAGCGACCCCAAAAACCTCCGAGTAACAAATTTCAGACAAATCGGATTGATTTTTTAAAAATTTGTCCGCCATATTGAATCCGCCATTTTGAATTTCAAAAAACCGACCTCAAATTCGAATTCAGCGACCCCAAAAACCCCCGAGTAACAAATTTCAGACAAATAGGATTGATTTTTTAAAAATTTGTCCGCCATATTGGATCCGCCATTTTGAATTTTGAAAACCTGACCTCAAATTCGAATTCAGCGACTACGAAAACCCCCGAGTAACAATTTGTGGTCAAAACGCATTAATTTTTAAATTATCCGCCATATTGGGTTGTCATATTGGATCCGCCATTTTGAATTTTGAAAAACCGACCTCTGATTCAAATTTAGCGACCCAGAAAACCTTTAAGCAACGAGTTTCATGTAAATCTGATAAAGTTTAAGTTTTCATGGTCGCCATTTTGGGTCCGCCATTTTGTTTTTTGAAATCTGACTTTAAATTTGGATTCAGCGACCCCAAAAACCCCCGAGTAACAAATTTCAGGCGAATCAAATTAAATTTAGTATTATTTTTTTGCGGTGGCCATATATGGCCACTTGCACAAAGGTGGCACGACTTTTTCTGGCCACATATTGGCCCTGGACTGTCAAGGGGTTAATATTAATAATAATATTAATACTTCTTAAATTTTATTTTTGTATTTTTTACAAATATTTTCGTCCAACCTTTTCTGAAAATTTAATTTAAATTTTTAGGAAATGTTCGTCACAAAAATTGACTGAATATTTAAATTACATTTTCACTCAACTTTCGGTATAAATTTTTAATAAATATTTAATTAAAATTTTTAGTCAACTTTTACGCCAAACATTTCACGAAACTTTAATTTAAATCTTCACTCAATTTTCGCGTCGAAAATTTCTGGAAAATTTAATTTAAATCTTCCGTCAAGTTTTACGCCAAACATTTACTCATTTTGGACATTTAAATCTTTATACAATTTTCTCTAAACTTTGCAATTAAAGTTTCCGAAGTTTGCAAATAAATCTTTAGGAAATTTTCAGGAAAATGTCGGTGCTGTGGGGGGTGTTACATCCCAGCAAAAATAATTTCTATTTATTAAAATATATTTCATTTATATAGGAATATAATAAGTAGTAAAAATAATAGTAAACAAAGCTTTACTCTCAATCTTTCAAAATTGATAATCTAAAATTATAATTATTTCTAATATTATATTGAAGCATTGACTCATATATATCATTGCATGTGTCTATATCTATATATATGCATATCTCTGCCTGCATGCTATGACTCGACGCGAGCAAACAATGTATATATAGATATAGTG